CTTTGTTGGTACTCTTACATCACACTATCTGCTCAGCCCTGAGCACAATCTCTTTTTTTGCATAGACATATCCGTATAACTTGAGTACTCTCTTGCAAGCAAGCACTCCTGAAATCAATTGGTGGTACGTGATGTGATCTGTCCAAATACTGGATCAATAAAGGTCACATTTATTACACACTTGTTATTATGTTTACTTTTTCAGTATACTTGTGCTTGAACATTAGGTTGCTTTCTCCCTGCTACTTCTAGAGGTTAGGACTTGAAGTACGTACTATCTTGCAGTGTGGCTGTAGATAAGTGAAGATCATGTATGTTTCAACTACCTGGGCGATTTCCTAGATTTTGTTTCATGACCGTAGCGCACAGAATATCACTTTTTAGTGGTAGACACTATAGTTATGACAACTTGATTTAAAGAGAAACAAATGTGCACAAAGAAATCTGGAACATTTTTCTGCCAAAAAATAACAGTACCACATGCAATGAACACAATCTTGCTCTTCATGGCAGCATTCAAATCTTTGAGGAAGCTGTGCTACAACTGCTCATTACCTTTATAATTTATTATTTTAGGAGCCCATTGAAAATATGTGCAAAGCTAAACCAATTGAGTGCAGTCTTATGAGCTATGGTACATGTTTTTGTAAACTCGTATGAGCTAAACACAGTTAATTAAGACAAAACAGTTCTGGGTGTTGTTGGTAAACCGTCACAAGGCACAACTGAATGTCGGAAAGCCTGTTAATGCCCATCACTGTGGGTGTGTTCATTATGTAGTTCAAATAATAATCTCCGACGATTCATATGCCAACTATGAAGTGATCGTGAGTCGTACAGTATTGGGCAAATTTAGATTGATTCTGGCTTCCAGGGGTTCAAACAAATGACATTTTAGCCTCACAGGAGACAAGACTGCTTGTCGAAACATTTGCTTTGACCCCTTATGTTAACATGTTTTTCATATTTTCAAGCTTCCATCTTTTAAGGGTCAGTTTAGTTCACCTGCACCAATCCGAACTGGTTCACAGCTGTGCACGAGAAGTTCAGAGCCTGTGCGGCAGGAGTTCAGCGGTGCGGCATCATAGGTGAATGACAAGGTGCCGAGAAGGTGGAATCCTTATTTTGGTTCACCTAATTTATTGAAATGCAAACATCTTGGCAAAACACGCCGCATTTGTAGGGGTGGGTAGAGCACCTACGTCTTATGCTATGTTGTTTGTTAAGCTGTGCGAGCGGCTGCACCAAACCAGCGCCGTCAGAGCAGAAGGTACAGGAAAGACATGAAATAGTTTTGGTGCTGTACCTATCTTGCGCTTTCTGAAATGAATTGCTAGATTTAGAAGATGCCATTGCTGCGCCACTGAAACGAATGGCGAGGTGCAGCACTTTGTAAAATGGACCATGTGGTGCAGGCGAATCGAACAAACTCTTAAGCACACAAGTGTCTTAGTGTTTCACCCCCATCGAAATATGGCTACAGTGGCTGGGATCAAATAGTGTGTTGTTGAGCTCAGCAGCGCCACACAATCTAACTAATAGTGTTATAGTTTCAACATTATTGAAGTGTAGATTTCATGCCACGGTAGGCAGGCAATGCTTGCAGCCAATCTAAACCACCTCTTCACGATATGCGCGGTAAAACGTTCACAAATACAGCAATAAACGTGTGAGGTTAAGATGACCTGTTGTAGTGGGCATTCAGATGTTTCAACGTGCTGGCAGATGGGACATTCGGGGGTAGTCATCCTGTCATTGCATGGCAGTCTGGAAAAACAAGTAACATCACCAGATATCAATGCATAAAATCAATGCATAATCAATGCATGAAATTTTCCGAAGTAAACAAATAAGCTCAGTTAATTAGTAAATAGCAGTATTTTATACATATATGTAGTGGTACCTCATAACACGTATATCACTCAGGGCTGCTTCTTCACAAGGCATGTCATGTAGCAGGTTCCTTGCCCATTGTACACAATTGCTTCCATGTCAGGTGGGCCAGGAGGTTGTGGCAGAAAAAGAAGTATTTCTCATTTATGTGACGCTTCGTCACACTATAGCAAAACCAGACCCATAATTATGTGACGTTTCTCAAACGCAACTGCAGTAAACTATTAACTAGTAGGTTTTTTGCACTAATATATGGGCTAGCTAAGAAGACACATGCGAGGCGACAGTGATTTATTTGCCTTCTTTTATCGCAACGGCCTGGTTGGTGTTACCTGGTGATAGAATTTCACAATTAACTATTGAGTAAGGAACTACTTCCCTCATAAAGCCACGCCGCAAGTAACGCCCATTTTTCAGGATACAGATTGATATGTTCAACAATTTTAAAATTTATTACCGCAATGCGCTGCCACCGTGTGACGCCTACGCAGTCATTGGCAAAAAAAACTACTTATGTTGAATTGCACCAACTAGCCCCGCAAGCAACCATCCTTAAAAACTGAAGTGGTTCCTACTCACCAGCCCGGGCTTGCAACGAGTGTTCATCCGATGAAAGCTTCAACGGTCGCTTCGTTCCCCGAAAGTCACTCGAATTCCCTTCGCGAAAGCATTTAAACGAGTCAAAATAAACTGATTGAGAAAGAATGTGTCGGTCGGCAGATGCTCGAAATATTTACAGCGAAACAAAACAGTCCGAGACACCTCCGAACGTACCGCGAGCCGTTACCTGCCGTCGCAACTGTTGGCCGCCGCAAACTTTGAAATGAGGATAATGATGTCGATAGGCTGTTACTGACATCGAGTCAGCTGGATCAAAAATTATTACAAAAAGGTAATAACGCAGTACATGTTTAATAAAAACTACTTGCTAGAAGAACAAAATGTTTTTTATGTGTAACGGTACGCAAACGTGTAGTACATCATCATTTTAAAATAGAACTTGGCCCCGACGAAGGTACTTCTACAAGAAAGTGCAATAGCGCGAGTGGCGAGAGAGGTTAGTAGATCCACTCTGGGTGTTTGAAGCAGAAACGCGCCGCGGTTGATTTTTTCGCCCCCTACAGGTGAGCACTAGAACTTGAGAGTTTCCGGGGCCTGGGGTAACTGCTTTAAGTCCTGCTTCATTATGGTGTGTCTATCGATAACCACCGTACTAGTGACCCTCATTATATCTCCGCCATAACCATCGTTCGTCGAAAAAAGTTAACTTGGCAGGGATGCAATCTTTTTATTTTTTTGGGGAGCTGAAGCATGTAACATCTTTCTTGCATCGAAGCTTGTCTATATACTACAAGTATTGCATTGCTCTTCCTTACATATTTAGGCTTTCCACAGAGTAGGTGCCCACTTCATTTGGAGTTCTTCTTAGGAAGCCATGCGAAAAGACACTTGAAAGTGGGGGGGGGGCTTAGTCTGGTGCATTTGTTTATACAACAACTGGTGATGAGATTTTTTAACTACAAGGATGTGTGTCACCTGTTTCTTTTGGCTGTTATCTAAAATCAACTTCTTACCACTTCCCGTTTCTTTTTGTCATAACAGGAGTGTCTGAAAACCCGCAATGGTGGTGTTTATTTGAAGAGATTGTGGGGTCATGCAGTTTTTGAAACTCAGATTCACTTTAGAGTATCTATGCACTGTACACAAAATGACCCTCACTCCTGCACTTGTCAGCATCCTTTTCCCTTATACTGTTTAGCGACAGCATTTGTTTTCTGAAACTGGCCATGGTCTGTACTACTGTGTGCATAAAATGTGCATATCGCCAGCAGCGAAAACGTTTTTCTTCAAGCTACACGCCGACACATTACCCGCAAATACGTGACTTCATGAAAAAGGTATATACGTGCCCTGGTCTCTATATTTCAGAACGTGCAACCAGGCTAAACAATCTAGCATTGTTTTATTGATAGCTGTAATGGGTGCCATTTGTGGGACATTATTAGGAGAATAATCAAAAAAGAATTTCCTATTAGAGCTAATGGTGTTAGGCTCCTACCGTTTAAAAAGCCCCTTAACAATAAAGGCCCCTACGATTTATTTATGTTATAGGGCCTTTCTTCATTATGGAGGAGCTGCATGATTGACAGATATGCTGAGCCACCTCGCTCAAAAAAGTCACTTTTCCGAGCATAGGCAGCCAGTGTGCGTTGTTTTGTAGAAGCTTCCGACCCTGTTCTGGAGTAGCTTGGACTTCTGGGCGTGTGTGTTTGTTTACTGGACTTTTCAAGCTTCGCTGGACTGTGTGAAATTGTATTTTGTGCATTTGTGCACTAGAGCATGTATTTGAAGCGAAATAATATATAGCTATATATACCATCCTTTTATTTCATTATTTCTATGCATTAAAGAAAAAAAGCACCGGTGTGGCACAGTGGTAGAATTTGGGGCTGGCAACTAGCGGACACGGCTTAGAGCACCGCTGAGTCATTGGTGCTAGTTTTTTGTTTCAATTTGGTAGGATTTAGGTACGGACCCTGGCAGCGGCGGACAACTGGGCATGATGTGAGTTGTGATATCCTAACAGATTTTACAGTAAATTTTTCATCATTTAGAGGCTGCCCAATATACGCCGAAGAGACTTTCAACAGATCTGTTTTTCTTAAGAACACGGATGTTTAGGGTAGTAATCAACGTTCCTTGAGAAGGAATTTCGACCACTTTATCACAAGAAAATTTGCCAATGAATGAACTGAGATATAGCCTTGGCAATTAGTTTTGTCAGTGAGCTGAAGATATACCAACAAAACAACTCAAGAGTTAGGCAAGAGACCAGCGTTATTTGGACCTCCAAATTACCTGACAGCTGACAGACATATATTGGTCGAAGGGTTTTGTTCGCTAGTATGAGAAAAATAGTGCTATTTTCCGTAAATGTCCAGCGCAGAAACAGCAAGAAACAAAGGAGGAGACAGGACACGATGCTTTCTGGGTTTTAATTATGTATGTGAACCAACTTGCCCCAGCTTTAACCTTAGAATTTTCTGTAAGTTGTGAACAGGATCTGACCACATTAGCGCAGTGTTATAAGCGAAAAAAATACTTACCCCTTCGGTCTTCTTGTTTTCAAATATCTGAAAAAATATTAATCAGGCTTCAAACTCAAATATTCAGTCCCGTGAATTTTCCTGGCAGCAAATTTTCAATTATGTGTCAACGAAAACTTAAAATTGTTGAATCACGTATACAATTTATTGCTTGTAATTGGAGATCGCAATAGCCTTTGATGCAACAGGCCGAAAATACTTTTTTTCTGATACAAGTATTTCTAAACTGTCTATTTGGAAAATAGAGTGGCTAGTAATTATACTAGGATATTTTATTTAACGATATTCACCATATCACCGTAACCTGCTGTACGGGTTTAGCGATGCTCAGGAGCCATATCAGAGACCTGCTTGATAAACGAATGGTTTATTGAAAACTATCATCAAGTGTTTTTTGCTTTCTTGCACCCGGCCTAGTGAATGGTGTTCCTCAGTCACCCAGCCAGAACTGCAGTGCTGAGAACCCAGGAGGACGTTCATCTTCCACTACACGCGAGCCAGTTTTATTAAGCCTGCCCTGTCGACTATTACGAAACTAGAAAGACTGCAATACCGCAACACACTCTTTTCTGCGGAATCATCAGAATACAATGTTGCGCTTAATATTTCTGTTACTCAACACATCCGCCACCCTGTGACAAATGAAGACCGGGACCTATACTTTCTAAAGTCTGCTTATTATGTCCCAAAAGTAAGTGGAGGAACGGCCAACAAGTGTATGATGGTGTGAATGCTTCTCAGGTTATTGGCACCAACAAACTGAGGGAGATCGGGCAAGAGTCGGGTGGGTCCTATAGACTAGATTTATTTTCACTATCTGTAGTTGCCGACGGAGATTACAAGTGCAATTTACTGAAGCGTTATCAAAGATGGATCCTAATTTTAGCTTAGAAGTTTTTGTATCCCCTGCCAATCACCAGATATTTTTTTTGCGAAAATGACCTGATGCACAAATATTTGCAAATAATTCAACAAGTAAATGTACTTGAGTCACATTGTAACTTTTGACAGGGATGAATACACTTCCTTCCGGGTGTCCCTGAACAGGAGCCCCCAAAAATAAAACAGAACGGCCACGTTACTGGTAGACAATGTTGCAAGGATATAGTTTCGATATTACGTTTCCGGTGTGAGGAAGTCAGCAGCTAAGCAAGAAGAGATCAGTAGCATCGGTTTCATTGCAAAAATAGGAAAAAAGACAGATTACCAGACCCGCTCTGTGCATAAGAAAAATGATAGTTTGGATTGTACATCGCAGTCTACTTATTACAACTTCTGTCCAAGTTTTTACGCACCATTTCCTCTTTCAACGAAAGAGGAAGGTCAGCAAGTCAGCTGATAGAACGTAACTTAGAGTAGACACCGAAAAAGCATTATTTGTGACATTGCAGCAGTGACAAATGCTGCAGTTGTAAAAAAAAGGAAGCACAAGACCTGCCACACAAGCATTTGCCAGAGTGTTCGGAACTTTCAACAGCACTGTTACCTTTTGACGCGGCACCAGAATCAACTTCAGGTTTTGCAAGTATTAAAAACAAGAGCAATAACTTTCGAATATGTTATTTCCTTGGAGTATGTATAGCAGAACACAAGAATAAAGCATGTGTACCTATATCCACTGAAGCTTTAGATAAGAGAAGCTTACGTCGAGTCACAATAACAGCTAAGCACTCAGGTAAAATATATGCGTATAATCAGCAAGTCTAACAGAAATTGACCAGTCTAGTTTTGTAAAAAACATCCCCACCCTCGCATTTCCTCACACTGTGAAGCTTCACTAGCCAGTATAAACATTGAGGCAATCTGACTTAGGTTATGATAGGAAAGTTCACTTAGTACATTTGAAGGTGGTAACATCACAATATTGCGGTACATATAATCTCACGATTGTGTGAAGTCACTCAACCTGTCCCTCATTACCACTATAATATTAAGCCTTTGTGTAATGAGTTCATGGCTACTGGGTAAAAATTATCTTAGGAATATGAAAGTGAGGCCACGTGACAATAAAATACAGAGCTGCAGAGCTGATAAATATATATTCATCTCATCTTAACAGCAAATAAAATCTTACGGATATTTGTACCGGCAATATTAAAAATATTATGGACCAAAAAATAAATTCAGGATTCCTAAAATAGGAGAGCGTTCGCGACAAATTTTTTTAGCCCCAATAACAAGCGAAGTGCTTGACACTCAAGTAAAACTGCACTCTAAAAAATATTGAGTAAGAAGGGTGTCTTTTTTCCCACAACAATAATCGTCATCATGCTTGCGTGCGCTTTTTTTCTTGAAAACTCGGCGCTGGCCACTTTCCTATCGAGAAAGCAATGTAACCCTGATAATGGGCATGTCGATCGTGACCGGAATAAACCGAGCGCAGGGCGATAGCGCAAGGATGGATCGCAATGTAGATGGCGATTATTGTTGTGGGACAAAAAGACACCCCTTTTACTCGCTCTTTTTTTTAGAGTGTATATGACATAACATCTATACTAGAGCGCCAGGTAATAAGAAGTACCCACACTTCAGAATAGGACGTATATGTACATCTGGATTATCATTAGTAATTTGCCTGTGCGCATGCTTCATTGACTAACACTAACCCTTCTGAGTTGGCTCATTGCATCACACTCGTTGATCATTGTATCCTCAATATGGTTACGCCAGTTAAGCTTTTCATCATAAATAAGTGCTTCACATTTTGCACCTAGAGAACGTCTGATTCTTGAATGGAGGGGCGTTTACTTTCAGTATCTTGGTGAGGGAAAGTCAGAGCAGCAAACTTCTGTGCATCTGACTTAAAACCAATACTGTCTAGCCAATCTTCCAAAGTAGACAAGTAGACTTATAAAATTGCACAATCACATTTATTATCATCCACAGAAGCAAGTATAGCTATGCCAAATGAGAAAACATGCGCACTCACTCTTCGATGATGACAAATGGAGCTAATACAGACCTTAAAAAGTAGTACATGGGTCACATCCGGTTATTGTAGAACATCAAGTGCCTGTTTGAATTTTTTCCGTTGAAAGACCAAATGAACGCAATAAAACTCCCTGTCCAGCAAAAACTTGGTGGGGGCTGCTACGCTGAATTTGGCGGTCCCTATGCAGGTAAAGCCGGGTGGCGCGGGCTCTCACCTGCATCTTCTCTGGACAAAAATAAAGTTTTAATCATCACCCCCGTCGTTCTTCTACTAGCTGCTCAGAGTAGGAAGCTCATGCCACGCTCTTTGTTTCGTTCGTACTTATGCGTAACAATATAGATAGATTGACCTATCAAAACTGTAACGTGAATATAAGGCAGCGTTGTGAAGGGCTGCGGAAACATTGACCACGTGATGATTTTACCGCACACTGACATCCCGCATAAGTCGGGCCTCAAGCTTTTCACCTGCATCTAATTGCTACCGCGTTGGCCAAAATTGAGCCCACGCCTTTCTGGTTAGCAGATAAGCATCATAACCACTTTGCTACCGAGCCGGACTTCTTTCTCTCAGAGGGCTGTGGTACTTCGCCCTAGCTACTTTGTCGTATAGAAGAGCCACTAGTCGTCATTGAAACGTATCATCATTATGAGCCTAGATACGCCCACTGCAGGGCAAAGGCCTCTTCCATGAACTGTTAATCAACCTGGTCTTGTGCTTTCTGTTTCCACGTTATACCGGCGACATTATAAATCTCATCAGCTCACCTAACTTTCTCTGGCCTCTTCTTGCGCTTGCCTTCTCTGGACATCTATTCAGTTACCCTTAATGACCAGCAGTTATTCTGCCTACGTGCAATGTGCCTGGTCCATCATCATTTTTTTCTTTCAACTGTGATATCTTTAACCCCGCTTTGTTCACTGACCCAATCTGCTCTATTCTTATCTATCAAAATTTCGACTATCAGTTTCCGTTTCATCGCTACATGCCTCGTCCTCAATTTAAGCTCAATCCTTTTTGTAAGCCTCCAGGCTTCTGCTCCGTAGGTAAACACTGGCAAGATACAGCTGCTATATACAATCCTTCAGAGGGTTAGTGGCCGATTACCAGTAATGATTTGAGAATTCTTGCTGAATGTGATCAACCCCGTCCTTATTCTTCTAGGTATTTTACTCTCGTGGTTTGGCTCCTTGATTACTACCTCTACTAAGTGGACATGTTACTTTAAAACTGCCAGGATCTCACTAGTTTCACAAAGTGCTGTTTTCTGCCGAGTCTTTTGCAGGTTCCGTTAGTTTTGTGCATAATATGACATCTTATTGTGACAGCGTTTATTCGAGGGAAGCCCTCCAAAGCCTGCACACCTATGATGGCGTTGATGATGGCCCGTAGTGGCGATGAGGACAAGGATACAAGTGGATGGTGGTGATTATAACAAGGCAGGGATAATGGCGATTTAGGTAACGAATGCCCCCACTAATTCTACCTGTTAGAAGCGAACATTCGTGCTGCCGTAAGCTAAAGGGATGCGGAACGTCGCATGAAAGGTTCCATGCGAGAAACGTGGACAACCTAGGAGTTGTATTAACGGAGGTTCATCGGGGTGATAAGTGGTGTCATACCACTATTGACCGGCGAAGTCTTTTCCAAAACTATGTATGGCCCAACAAAACGCGGTTGAAATTTGTCACAGAGGCCAGGAGTGCGTATAGGTGTCAAAAGCAGCACCTCGTCAGCAGGTAGGAAATCAACAGCGCGATAGGATGCATCCTATCTAATTTTCGCTCGTGCTGTTTCACTTCAGTATTGATGTGAACCTGATGGCGAGACTCAGCAAGGCGGAAATTGTATTATTTGATATTAGACTAACTTGAATTAACATGGCTCTTAAATGTAGTAGGGGGACGTTCATACATGAAGTAAAACGGCGAGTAGCCAGTTGTTCGCTGAGCAGTGGTGTTGTACGCGAAGGTCGAAAATAGCAGAAGAAAAACCCAGTTTTGTGGGCAGGCTGGACGTAAACTGCATCATGTCAGCAAGGGTTCGATGAAATCCTTTGGTGAGACCATTGGTCTGAGGAAGGTAGCTTGAAGCT